CTTTGACTATGCTGGCATCTCCAACACGGATTGCTCTGAACAGAGGCTCCTCCTCCCTGCAGCCAACGTACCCATCAGTCACCTGTCCCACCTGTCTCACCTGACCTCAGCTGTCCCCCACCTGTTCCCCATATCTGATATGAGGTTTAAACACTGCCATAGTTTGTCTTTTAGATACTTGTCCTCTGTGAAGGGTGCTTGTTTTTAACTGTTACAGCTCCTCCTGCTGTTTGAAGGAATAAAGTTCATGTTTATTGTCAAGTTGACAAGGTTTATATGTAAAGGGCTAGTTCACCCAAAATATTAAGAAACACCTTAGAGGTTGACTGGTATACCTGGAGGGGTATGTCTATTGTCATGGTAACATGTCAGTAATCTCACACCTACTGGGAAGCAGGTTTGTTTTCAGGCTCATTCAAATGGCTCTCAATCAGATGGTACTGTTTCAGTAAGGAGGGAATAAGTTACTGAAGTGGACTGTTAGTGCCTCATAGGGCCAGACAAAGAGGAGCCATGCTCTGAGTCAGTGTACATTGACCTGAGGCTTCTCACAGGCTGCAGTTTTATATAAATGTTGGTGATTTTGGAAATTCTAGGAAAGAGCACCATTTGTCAATTTGCCCTGAGACTGTTCCTCCCAGTTTTCAGGCACGTAAGAATGTATGAACAAATGTGAACTCACTCTTCAGGTTCTGGAGCAATGTAGACTAGACTGCCATTAGCCCTGCGATAAGCCACCATCCTCTTCCCAGAGCCTGTCATGAAGCAACTCACTGTCCCATCAAATGTCTTCCTGTCACAACAACACAAAAACAATAGCCAATCAGAGCACAGATACTAATACATCAGCCAGTGAGAGCAGAGAGACTGAATTACCAAGTGTTTTAGGATCCCTCCAAGTAATCACACTAAAAATAAAACTAGAACCAGTACCATTCCTACATCAGAGAGAGTAAAGTTAGGACTGAAACAAGTCTTATGTCACCAAAGTATTAAGATGGGGCACACACACAATAAAAAATACATTAAAACAGTTGAAAACCTGCGTCAGTTGTGCTAGTCAGCCTTCACATGAAGAATGGGTGGTCAAACACCTCTAGTAACCTTGCAAGGATAAAGATTTTGTCCACTGTTCATGAAAAGGGTAGAATTTACATTATGATAGCAACTGGGCAGCTGTTTCCACAATGGAGGCAGCCCATGTCCCTGGCCTTCTGGAGACCTCAGGGACAGGTTCACTCTCACTCACTCCCCTCACCATCTGATCCATCTCACCATCAGGTGGTGATCAGTTGACAGCTCTGCTCCTGTCCTCATCCAAAGATCTCATGATATGACTACAAAGTTGATCATCGATCTTAGACCAAGGGAGTTCTAGAACCAAGTACATTTACGAATCACCCTATTCTTGAACATGGTGTTTGTCATGGACCATCCATGACTAACCCAGAAGTCCAATAACAAAACATCAATCAGGTTCTGATCGGGCAGGCTGTTCCTCTTAATCACCCAGGCTTCTCCACTGTTACTCATATGAGCATTGAATTCCTCCTACAGAACTATACCCTTGGTTCAGTTATAGTACTTGAACCCTAGTGGAAGACACACATCAATTCAACATGAAAGAATGGCTAACTAGTACATATGATGCTCTTAACCTGGGCATCTCCAAAAAAAGAATAGAGTCCAGCCTCTCTCCAGGATTTTTGGTCCAGCACCAGTTCTAAGTGCAGTGGTGAGACCAGCTTCATGCTGCTGTTCCACCTCCTGGACCAAGTCAGACTCCCCACCAAAGAGGTGACAATCCACATCCCTAGAACTACTCTACAATGCCAGCGATTGGGACACTGGCATCCTGCCATTTTCTTGCTGCCTGGCTCACATTGCTTACACTGCAGCCAAGTGTGATGTCTATCCCTGTGGATGGTGGGCCCATCCAGGTTCTGGCAGCCAATCTTAGTCTAGCCCCACCCTGGGGACTGACTTGCTTACCAGCCCATGGGCTGATACCCCCAGAAATACAACTCCCAGGATCAGTACAACACACAGACCCCTCCAGCATATTAAAGTGAGGTTATTCCCATGTTTGTGTTCTTATTCACATGTATGATCTGCCTGACTTTTATATAATAATCATATTTATATAAAAGTAATTTAAACACTGTTGTTCAGTCTTTTTTTAGCTTTTCATACCACAAACTTAATCCATCTGAAGGTACAATAGCAAAAAGTCTTTTTTCTGAAGCTGTTCTGGACTCTAAATTCTCTGAGCAGAATCATGTCACCTATCAATTTCTTCAAAGAGCAAAGTATTCAAGAATCATAACTGTTGTTTTGCAGGACTCACAACATGAAAGAGTAAAATAAAAACTGTTGCCTCACGTACAGATCAGGAGGCTTTTCAGTGGGAGGATTTGGAGAACTGTAGTGTGCAGTGGTCTTGGCAGGAGGTGGATTATGGGCATTGCATTTGGATTGATTGGTGATTCTGGCTAAAGGAGTCAGGCTGCTGTTAGGTTGGGTGGCAGCAGCAGAAGTGTTGCTAGTTGTGTTGGCGCTGCTGCAGTGTTGATCAGTCAGACTGCGCTCGATGGCAAGCTGCAGCAGTTCATCATCGCTAAGATTACTGTAGAGAGAATAATCCTCAAAGCCAGGACTGGGAGCTGCTGATCCAGAATGAGAAATCCTGGCTGCTGCCATGATGGAGCTGTATAACTTAGAAAAATTGAAGAACAAGAGTCACAACAGGATAAAAGAGTCCATTTTACACAAAATGAAACATGTCATTGGGATTATTGCAAATGTTCTGGGCTCACTTAAACCTTTTCAGACAGACTGCAATTTGTTCATGTTAACAATGAATCATCCATGCACGCTAAAGTTGGTCACAGTGTCCCACAGGGTTGTGTACTCAGTCGAATTCTCTTCACTCTATACATGCTCCCTTTAGGCAGCATTATCAGGAAACACAGCATAAATTTCCATTACTATGCAGATGATACTTAGTTATAGTTGTCTATGAACCCAGATCAATCAGATCAGTTGGTGTATCAGTAGATGCATTTACACTTAGTTTATGTTTTAGGTTGAACATTTCACATACCCAAAATTTATGTAAATACAACTGTCAAACAATATGAAACTTTTAATGTCAAAATTAAACTAAACATGAGTTTAAGTAGGGTTAGTGTTAACAACACAGGCGTCTGCATAACATTTACAGTCAACATATAAAGATACCCTCTTTCTAAGAAGCATTCAAGAAGGATTTAAATACATTGTTTTAAAAGGACGCAGGACATCCTGAGCTGCAATAAACTGTGCAGCCTGGAGGGGACGCTAACAGAGTTGTGAATAATAAACCAGTGCGCTCTAACCTACAGACACCAGCATGAGTTCTGGTACAGGAAAACGTCAAACAGAGGCAGCTGATATTAACTGCAGCAAAAACAGAAGGCGAAATATTTTTATAATCTCTTACAGAGTCAAACTCATTAGAAAAATAAAACCTACAATAAAATATCAAATATTAACAGCAGTGATATCTGAAAGTAACTGAACAACAGAAGTACTCACCGTGTTTTAAAGTTTTTAATCCAATGTTTGCTCCGTGTTAAGACACATCCATGTGTTTTATCAGTTTGTTGTTCAGTCTATGATCTGTTTTCTGTCTGCAATGCAGTCTGGATTTGACACTGTGGGGGTAGGGTTGTTTACAGTTTATTTTAAGAACCTGCTGAGCAGCTGACCTGTTTGTTCTGTCTAATGTTACAGGTAGAGCCAGAACAACACAACACAGTCTTAATGTTCATTATAACACAAAAACATGACTGTTTATATGGAAAAAATGTTTAATCTGCTCACAACAGACTGCTAACCTGGGATTATACCTGATCTGTCCAGGGTTAATCTCTAGTCCTGCCTGAGTTTCTGAGATGTATGTCCCAGAACAATCCCAGATCTGTTGAGAATTTATCATAGCTCTGTCCTGAGTTACTCTTGGATTTTTTCAGGCTCAGGCTAATGTGCATTGAGTTAATCTGTTATCTGCCCAGGTTTAATACCACACCTTTTCAAGTTTACTCCAATAAAATGAAATCCAGCTCTGTCACAAACTAATCTGTAACCTGACCCTGATTAATCCCAGCTCTGTTATGGTTTAATCCTGGGTCTCAGCCTGATCTCATTCAGACCGGTCCCTGTTGTGGTCTCATACTAAGCAGCTAATCAGATCAACAGTTCTGACCCTAGTTAAAGTCAAACTAACTCACTTGTATTGTTTTTAGTATCAGATGCTGAGAGAAAGTGACCCCACACGTTGTGTGGTAACTCAGTACATTGACTACAATACTGTAGTTTAGTACAGTTTTAGTATATACATACTACTATATTATTTTACTGCACATTCACATGCCATTCATCAGTGCAGCAATAAACACTCAACATGCAGTTGCAGGTGTGACATCTCCTGGCCCGTCTGCTTTGGGTCTTTTTTTCTTGCTTTCTCCATTTTCCCTAATTTGACAGGTAGTCCGAGTTACAAACCAGGTGCTGTCCTCTGTTATTAAAATCCCGTTCCCCATCCCCTGGCTGGCTCTTCTCTTTGCTCCAGTACACTGTAGGCTCAGTTCGTCTTACCATGCTAACTCTGAGAGACTAGGCTGTCCAAGTAACTTCAAAACAGTGCTGATTTATTCAA